AAATCTGCCCTAGTAAAAGTAACCAAAGATAAATTCCTAACTGTAGATATCCAATCCTACCAACTCAACGGCTTAGAAGAACCCATTAATTTAACCATTCAATACCGAGATGGTAAGCAAGTTCTAGTAAGAACCAAAACTGAACAAGAAGAACTAACTAAAAACTTAACCCCCGAGGAAAAGACTAAATTAAGCTTTTTAGACCCCTCTGAAGTAATCTGCTTCTTCAACAACTCAACTCATCGACCTAATTTAGAAGGAGCTGAGGAAATCTACCTCAATGACCTGTGAGAAATTAAAGAAAAAATCAAATGAGACCGGGAAAAATCTAAGAAAAAAGTCTTTTTACAGGTTGAAAATGATCCGTCCGAGGGTACTCAAGCTAAAGAAATTAATGCTGCTAATAAGGATTATTTGTTTTATATTGCTGACCCGGGAACTACTAATGAAATTAAGAAAATGGAAGTTTATTCACCTTCTAAAGGAACAGAGGAAAGAAGTAGGCTTTATCAGGATGCTAAGGAGGAGTTTAGTGAACTCCGTCGAGTATTCGGGATTAGGCATCTTACTAGTAAAAAAGAAGATCGGCAAAATAATCCGGAGATTGAGTTGAATGAGGCTCAGTTTGTGGCTTTGGAGAGGGATAAGTGGAGGGAGAGGGTGAAAGGTATTAGGGAGGTTGAAGGTAAAGGATTTTGCTTAGGGAAGCATAAGTTGAGTTATGGGGCTTGACAAGAACGACAGGAGGCTGAGGTGGAGAAAGTGAGGGAGATTAAAGAAGATCCTATCCAGGAATTAGAAGAAAAATGAGCACAAGAGAAAGGAGGCCAACATGAATAACTGCCTACCTTTATTTTATCTTTGCTTAACTCTTTGTGGAATAATTTTAGCTATGTTAGCTATGTTTTTTAATTATTCTTTGAAATTAGATGCTAGGACTATTAAGTTAGAGAGGAAGAATGGGAAGGAGTTAGACGAGATTGAGAAGCTCAAAGCCCGAATAAAGAAACTAGAAGGAGGGGGAAATGAATAAGGAATTATTAAAGCAAGAAATTTTAGAGAAAGTGAAGCCGGGGATTAAGCCGAGTGATTTGAAGAAATGGAGGGGGAAGGATACTTATTCCAACCAAATACCTACCCCACCACCCACTCCTCCTTTAAAACCTAAAAAGGATGATTTACCACCACTCATAGAGATAGAACTAAAAAAGAGCAAGGAAATAAAAGGGAAATCAGAGCAATCAAAACCAACTAACCAATCCACCTCCAAAACCAAACCCCACCTCTACCTCTTCACCTGCTCCATCTGTGAACAAAACAAAAAAAGTCAACTCCATTTAGCCAAAGTAAATGGCTTAGGCATTGACCCCATCAAAACCCAAAAAATCTGTGACTCTTGCATCCGTAAAGTAGACCTCATCCCCGAACCCAAGGAGGACTTCTTCTAATGACTACTATTGCTAATAAATACCCTACCTTTCAAGACTTCTGAACTGCCTACCGAACTACTTACTTCGAACAACATAAAGACCTAGTAATAAGAAGTATCATGGCTAATATTGCCCACCTCAACTACCATTACTGAAAAGATAGCCATTATGAACCCTATGAAGGAGTATTCTATGGTAAATTCTTTGGTAAGATGACTATTGATGCTATTAATTATAGCCGAAATAGAGAACTTTATAATAATGTCTTTAAATTGATTAATCTTAAAGAGAAAGAATTATTTAAATCAGGTTCTAAGACTGAGCATAGTAAAATTAATAAAAAGTCTAGAACTACCCCACAAGCTACTGAATGAACTAACATTCCTTATACTCAAGGGGAAGATATGATGAGTGATACTTATGGAAGAGCTCAATTATTAAAACAACAACAAAGACAGTTGAAGACTATTGAACGAGAAGAGATTACGGGGAGAAGAATAGCTAATGAGGATGGAACCATCTCTTACCAGCCTACCTATAATGAAACTACTAGTTGGGGAGATAAAACCTGACTAGGCAAACTTTTAGGAGCCTTACAATACATTCAGTTTGATTTTGATCCGAAAAGTTATCGGTTTTTATTTATTAAATTATTTGGGGCTTCAGGGGAGTTGATTACTTTACCTAGTGGGAGAAAAAAATGAATTCCTGCCTCCTATGAAGAAGACGAGGAAGAAGATCTGCCTACTCCTAAGAAAAAGCCCGAGCAATATCCGGATATTACTTGAGAAGAATGGAAGTTGATTTGTCAAGCAAAAAACCAAACCCCCACCCAGCAAAACTTTTACCTGGAATGCATTACTAGGTATTATAAAAGAAAAGAAAAAGAAAGAGCTCCAGTGGGTTCTTTAACTGCCTTAGGGATTGAGAAGCAAAAAGAGTTAGCTGAGGGATTAATTAAGGCTTGAAGTAAAGATTTAAAGGTTCCTTCTTTGATTAAGTTTAACGAAGTAATGGACCAAGTAGTAGGTTACCAAGAGTTTAAGCAGAAAATGAGGATGTATTTGGTGAATTTAGCTAAGGATATAAGAGATGGTAAGAAAACTGAGCAAACTATTTATGTTTTATTAGGACCACCGGGGATTGGTAAGAGTTATATTAGTGAGAAAGTAGCGGAAGGAATGGGTCGAACTTTAATTAATGATTGATTTAGGGGGAAGAAGTGATACGGGCATATTAGAAGGAGTTAGCCCTAGCATCAAGGCTGCTTATCCGGGAAGACTTTGTTCAGGCATTGCCATTAGTAAAGACCGAGGGGCTGTGGTATTATTAGATGAATTTGAGAAAGTTAGGGATGAAGGATTAGCTAATATAATGGGGAATGTTTTAGATGTTAAGAAGAATAAGGATTGATATGATCAGTTTTTAGGTTATAGGGTGGATTTAAGTGATTGTGTTTTATTATGTACAGCTAATTATGCTGATCAGGTGCCTGATTTTGTGCAGAGTAGGGCGGAGATGGTTAATATTGAGTTGGCTAGTTATGGGCAGAGGGTTGAGTATGTGATGAAGGCTTTGAGGAAGAAGTTAAGGGGTGATGAGGATACTAAGCATTATGCTGAGCAGTTGGATGAGGGGTTTTGTAAGTATATTATCACGGAAGAATGAGGGTATAGGCAGACTAATGCTAATATGGAAACTACCTTTAAGACCCTTCGAGGCTATGGCTCTGAAGAGATTAATCAAGCTATTAATGATTTTACTGATTATAGTGATTTAGAGGAAACCCCCACGAGATGAATATTTACTTATCAGCAGGGGCAGAAGATTAGTTTAGTGAGGGTGAGGAATGAGAATGAGTTGGGGGATAGTGTGGTTAGTTTGGCTGGATTAGAGTGGCCTGAGTTTGGTTTTAGTAAACCTAAAGTAGTGATAACTAAATAATATGCAACAACCTAATTTAATTATTAAACCTGAAGATATTAGAGCTAATCCGGAATTATGAATTCAGAAAATCTCGGTGATACTTTTTAATGACTTAAATGGTAAGCCTTACTGAACTAGGGAATATAAGTTCTTACCTAATCATGAGAGGTATAATCAAGCTGTTAAGTGAATTAGAGAAACTGAGTTTGCTGAGTATGATTGTCGAATAATTAAGAATGAAAATAATGAAATTGAGATAGTTACGAGGAATTATTTTGGCTCAATCGTAGCCCTAGAACAACAAGAACAAGCAATATTAAGGAAAATCAGAAAAAAGATAGGGGAAGAGTATCGACATCCTAGTATTGAATTAGAAACTGAACAAATAGAACCTTATCGAAGAGGTTTAGAAAATGGATTTAAGTTGAGTAGGTATGAAGAGTTAGTGGAATGAGATAAGGATTGAGAGTTGATTAGGGAAGAGTTAGAAGAATGGAAGGGAATAATTGTTAAGAAAGGAAAGTTAAGTGGGGCTGAAGCTGTTTCTTATGATTTAGGAAGACCTGATTTAGGGATATTGTGGAGGAAGCAGTTATATTTTGTTAGTAGTTTTGAGTATGTTAATAATTGGAAGTTGACTTGTGTGATTAGAGCTAAGAAGTGTTTGTTGGGGATGTATTATTGGAATTGGATGAGGGGAG